TATTTAAGTTGTGTTTGGGGCAGTTTCTGTGTTAAGTATAATTAGTTTATCCTGAAACTCAGCCCGCGCCGCAACCTGCGTTTACTATAAAACGTGTACCGTATTTTTGGATAAGCGGATAAAATGTGCGATCCAAACGGTACCACAGTGTTTTTAAAAACGCCCCGCACTTATAAGCTGACCCAAACATGATTTATACAAAAAAAATACTAACGGATAATAAAATGAACTTCGCAAACACGTCTGAAACATTAAAATTTCCCATGGAAAGGTATTATGTGATTGAAATGATAAAGTATGGCGAAATCATCAAACTATTGGAGCGATATGCAATTTGGACCTCACCGTCACCGAAACTACCTAAAATGGACACCTATATTGATGGTTTTCATGCATGAATAATCGACACATAAATCGAGTTCCGAATTTAAAGTAAAAGAAGCAATATCAAGACACATAATTTAAATGGAGGGAAATAAGAATATATATATATATATATATGTATGTATATATATATATATATACATACGTCCTTGATTATTATTCTACACTTCCCTATCTCCGCCGCTCAACTTCATTTCAACCCATGCTTCACCTCCCCATTTACCCAATTGGAACTCTTTGCTTTAAATTAAAATAGAAAAAAAAAATAAAAAAAAATCCCATCCCATTAACATTTCTCCCAATCAACAGTAGGGGTGTAAATGAGCCGAACACGAGCGAGCCGAACAGAGCGAGCCTGGCTTGTGTTCGACACATTAAAATTACTTCTGTTTGTGTTCGACTCGTTTATATTTAATGCACAAAAATTTTTTTTCGTGTTTGGCTTGTTTGCTTAACGAGAGCAAAAAAGCCGAACACGAGCTGTTTGCGAACAATGAGCTGTTTTGACAGCCCTATTTTTAACAAAAATGAATCTCCCATTTATTTTTCATTTCAATTAATTAGTTAATTAATTATATATATATATATGTATATATAAGTAATATTATAATAATGAAAAATAATTAAATAAAGGAAATAATGGTGCAGCTTCTGCTACCGTGGCTTCGTTTGCGGCGCTGACCGGATTTGGAGCAGTAATGTGTTATATAAGGAAGATGAGGTCCAACAAGCTGGTGGCTTGTGGGGTTCAGAGTAATGAGAACAGGATATTTTAATATTCTGATTTTAATTAATTAATTAATGAATTAATTAATTAATTATTGGAATATTTACATACATGCCTCACAATTCCTATGTATTTACATATCTTTCATTTTTAACTTTACTGTTTACGTTAATATGGTTTATCAATCAAAAGGTGTATTTCACTTTTAAGGGCTCCTAAAGTTAGCTTGGTTTGATTTTTAAGATTTCTAGACATTAATTGCATGGAGAGCATTGCTTCTCTATTTTATTAGACAATATTTTATTTTTAAGAAATGGTCAGATGCTATTATACGAGTCTTCAGTCATCACTAATATGTCTAACTATTCGAGTATCACCTTTTTAAGGCTCGCGTCGTCAGAGGGGAATCGAATAACAGATCTAAGGGGTCTTACACTGAGAATGTTAACCAATAGGCCGGAGTGCATGGCACCAGAGACAATATATAACGAATGGTTAATATAATTAAATTGATAGCATTGATTTTCTAAATTTTTCAGCTTCCTCCTCTCCCACCTTTTTGTTTCTCGCTCCTTGTGTGTGTGTGTGTGTGTGTGCACGTACCGTGGTCTGTTGGTAGAGCAGATTCTCTGCATATCGTAAGTTCCCTCAGTTCATGGGTTTGAATCCTCCCGTGCGTAGGGTTTGGTACTCTAATATTTAGCACACCTAGGAATGATCGAAGCTGTTATATATGTATATATATATATCAAAGCATTTACATAGCACAATTTTCTTACTCATTTACATATATAATGCCTAAACTTTCATTATTTGGCATCTAGCACTCAAAATCTTAACATCACATCAAAATATTATGACTTAAATACATGATTGTTATGGCGATAGATATGTAAATTTCCCAAGAATATAGTAATTTACATATCCTAGACCAAAACTTCAATTTTTACTTATAGAGCAACTTTCCCATGGTACCCTCACTATATTTTTACTAAGCTATTTAATATCATATAATATAGTAATATTTTAAATTCTTAAAATTAAATACTCAATAGTAATTAAATATTAACTGCATTTTTTAATTTAATAGCCCCAGGAAGGCTTCGGCTTCGGAGGTTTTACTTGGGCACTCGCGAATTTCAGCAGTTTTGTTCACGACAGTAGATCGTTGGCGGGACAGCAGTTTAGTTGATGTGTTGGTGCGAACAATAAATGTGTTTCGTGTGAAAATTTGATTCACGAATCACTGGAAACTGCAGGAAAATTGCTGCAATTGACAGAGGAAATTTCAGGTTTATTTGAATTTATTTGTGGTGTGTTTTGTTTTAATACAAATCAGGAAAAATTCACTGTATGATTAATTTTAAATGACAATGTCTTGTGCAAAATTCGAGATAATGAAGTTCGATGAAACATGAAACTTCGGATTGTGGCAAACAAGGATGAAAGATTTGTTAGCACAACAAGAAATTTTGAAGGCATTGCAAGCTACGAAATCTGATAATATGTTGACCAAGCCAGATACTATCAACAAGTTCTTGCATTACATGAACTTGTTGAATGTTTGCAATTGCTAGATGGCATGGTTGTCCAACCCCCTTCGGTGTAAGAAATTAAATGGTGCGACAGAGGTCGGCATTTCGCGAATTACAATTGTTAGATGCCAAGGTGGAGCTTTGTCAGGGGGTTGTATATTCGCCAAGGTGGAGATTTGTTAAGTATATGTATTTATTCTAAGGGGTTGGATATTCGCCAAGGTGGAGATTTGTTAGGTATGACTCATATACCAGAATTTGAAGTCTCTTGGAAATGAAAAGGTGTGTCTCCTGAAATGAAGAGGAGTGTCTCTTGGAATTGAAGAGGTGTCTCTTGGAATTTAGTGGGTTAGGGTGAGCAAGGGCGTGTTAGTAATTTTATCTGTGGGTTTTATTAATATATATATGATGTGTAACCCTATGTGTATGTAACTGGACTCCTCTGAAATAGTGAAATTCGCTGCTTTGCTCCCGATGATGTAATCATCTTTGCTGAACCTCGTAAATCTATGTATTCTTCTGGTTTTGAGTCGATTCTTTCTTTTCTTTGCCCTAAATTTCTCAACAGTTAATAGTAGAATTCAAGTTGGTTGGTTGAAGTGGAGGAATGCTTCGGGCTTTTTGTGTGATAGAAAAGTACCGCTTACACTGAAAGGAAAATTTTATAAGACGGTGGTGAGACCTGCAATGCTCTATGGCGCTGAATATTGGCCTTTAAAAGAGAAGCATAATAGTAAGTTAAGTGTTGCCGAGATGAGAATGATTAGGTGGATGAGTGGCTTTACACTTAGAGACGAAATGCGGAATGAATATATTCGTGATAGGGTTGGTGTAGCTCCTGTGACAGACAAAATTAGATAAAGTCGTCTTAGATGGTTTGGTCACAGTAAACGTCAACCATCTGATGATCCGATTAGGAGAGTAGATGTTTTAGATTCAACTTGTGTTAAGAAAGGCAGAGGTAGACCTAGGAAGACTTGGGCTTCTTGTATTAAAAATGATCTTAATTTACTAGAAATAAATGAAAATATGACACTAAATAGAACGCAATGGAGAAAAAGGATTCATGTAGCCGACCCCACATAGTGGGATTAAGGCTTTGTTGTTGTTGTTGAGATTCTGCCACCAATTTCACCCATGCTCCTCAAGCTCTTCTATCGAGCTCACCCACACCCAAAGAGCTCTCCAACCGAGCTCGCCTGCATCCATCAAATTACGTCATCAAGTTTGTTGAACAGTCTTCTATGACAGAAGGAAGCAAAACTCCATTTCATTATCATCCATGCTTATTTATTGACCACATGAAGTCTACGCCTAGGATTTTATCAATGGCAAGTCTTAAAAGACTCCATGCAACACAACCTACAGCAGTGCATTTGTTTATTATTTGTAGCCCCATGAATGAGTACACACACATTCTAGGAGATATAAATAAGAGGGAGATAAAGAGAGGGAATGGAAGAGAGAAGTGCTCTCTCTCTCTCTCTCTCTCTTCACTTCTTCCTCACCAGCATCAATAACAACTTACACTCTAAAATCCTCAGCTCCCTTGTAGCTCTTTCATAACGTTTTTCTCAGATTGTATAAATTCACGGACAATATGCGACTCTACGTCCTATAAACATTCAACACTAGTAAAGCAAATATATTCGTCAACTAAGAAAATAATGAGAAACAAATTTGGTAGGCCAAAGTTGTTGATTTTTAAAAAAATTAATACATAATGAGAAACGACCACAAACTTAGGTGAGTATTAATCAATTATTCTTCATCATATCATGCAATCAAATGTGCCCGACTTCTTAAGACAAATATAAATATCAAATTTAGGCATTAGATGTGTAAAAACATAAGAATTGTGTGCACTTATGTGTAGAGAGAGAGAGAGAGAGAACTATGAATGAGATGAAACCGAATGAAACATCAACATCATATGGCATAATACAGGCGTTAGCATCGTTCTGAAACACCACAGAAGATTTTACCAACACATTTAATAAGATCAGAAATGGAGAATTATTGCTCACAAGAGTTTAGCTAAACCCAAAAACCCGAGATGAACAATACCAGATGTACTAATTATACTGTAAATTAGAACTAGAGTTCTCTGTAGAAGTTATGACTCATTATCAGGTGTGTAATAATTTTTCTGTTAGCTACTGATCAGCAGTTTGTTAGGATAAACTGTTTATCTAGATGAGTTGGATAAGTTGCAACTGCCCCAAACAGATCCTTAATAATTCATAAATTACAACTAAGCACCAGATGAGCTAATTATGCTGAAAATGATCCTGTTAGACCGGCGTCTATGACGTCGTCTGCCAAATAATTTGAAAACTTATGTTAAATACAAGATTAAAAGGATAATTTACTTATTATTTTTACTTTGTTAGTAATAAATTAAAAAAATACAACCTAAATTAGAAATTGGCAGAAAATTCAGCTAGCATTTTCTTCAATAAATTGTTTGCCATTGCTACAACGAGAAGATGCTTGCACCAAAAATGCAAATTGAAGTTCTACACCTAAGCGATAATCTAAAGGGGACATTTGCATACAAACCATAATCTTCCCACACATTTATATATTTAACACCTACATTTTACTGTTAAGAGGTTAAGAAGGAACTACCTTCTGAAAATGTTAATAGGTTCTAGTAAATCTTTTATGGTATTCATTTTAAACATTGCATTTCCAATAACAGGATTTAATAAATCCGGAATTTAAAACAAAGTAGAGAAGAGATTGAGAATGAACTGGATTTAATAAATCCTGGATTAAAAGCTGATTTTTTTTTCTGTTTGACAAGATTTAGGTCAAATCCTACTTGAGTCTCGTACAATACAACCCTTTAAAGTGTTTCAGTGACACCAACTTAGGGTCTATTTGGGGCAGTTGCAGCTTATCAAAAAACTGTTGTGATTACAATTTTTTCTTACAAAAAAAGTCAGACTGCAACTAGTAAACTACTACTGCACCTGGCTAAAACCGGTGGTAAAACGTAGATTTTAGCTGCAGTTTTTTGAAAAAACTATCAAAACGCGGTTTATCCAAACAAACATAATTGTGGTGTCGTACCATAGTGCCGCCCCAAACAAACCCTTAGCCTTCTAAAAATGCTAGTTAGTTCTAGTAAATCTTCTATGGTGCTTTTTTTGAATATTGCATTTCCAGCAACAGGATTTAGTGAATCAGAAATTTAATACAAATTTGAGAAGAAACAGAGAAGGAGCTGGATTTACTTTTATTTGACAAGAAGTAAGTTAAATCCTACTTAAATCCGCGACCATATAGCCCCTTAAAGTGTTTCAATGGCACCAACTTAGCCTTCTAAGAATGTTAATTTGTTCTAGCAAATCTTCTACGGTGCTCCTTTTGAATATTGCATTTCCAACTTAAATAACTAGCTCAAACAATAAGAGTGTTGGCACAATCCAACTTTTCTCCCAAACAAAGGCAAAGACAAGGCTAGAAATCCAATTCTTCTTCCAAACAAAAGAATCTAAGGGCATTTACATGCATACCGCACAATTCTTATGTATTTACATATCTAACATATACTTCCTTGTTAACAATTATAACACACAAAACTTCAACATCACATAAAAAATACCACCATTATTAAAGTTTTGAAAGCAAAATGCACATTTTCATGCATAGATTTATGACATCAAAGTTTTACAAGTGTAAATATCAAACTTTGGGATTTACATATGTAAATACGTGACAATTCTGTGGTATGTACATAAATTTCCCAACAATCTACACAGTCAATTACTTCAAGATGAATTAAGAACAAGCAAGCAAGCTCTGTCACAAGTTCAGATGTTTCAAGACAGAGTCAATTATGCAAGAAAGCAGTACTTTCTTATACAAGCTACTAATTGTATCAAAGCAAAGGCGTAAATTCTTCCAATGACAAACAAAGGATTAAAAATCACAACTAAGCACCATCAATAGTGTTGCAGACTAATCTTCATATATGCTGCAAAATTGGAATTTGGACACACTAATGCAACCAAGCAGAAGGAGATGAAAGTTACAAACTAACAAGAAGGAACGAAGTTACTTTACCAGATTTCTCTAGGGCATCCAATAATTTCACTTGTTCTTCCTGAAGATATACACATCAGTCTCCTCATAAGCATAATCCGGGTGAAGATCCTCGTGAGGCACCTTCTCAATCACCGGAAAAACCTCCGAACACCGATCCCAAAATATGCGGTGCGCCTCCGGTGATCTCAGCTGGTAGCCCAACAGAACCGCTCCGCTGGGGGCAACGAGAGCGTCCATCGCAGACACGAGCTGTGCTGCGGAGTCCTCCATGTAGACAACATCAGCAGCGATAACGAGATCAAAGGGAGGATTGAGGGATCGGATCTGTTCAGCTTTGTTCCAGTAGAGCTGGGCGTGTTTGGGAGTTTTGGGGAGGGCGAATCGATTGCGCTTGATGTTGCGGCGAAGGGCCGGCATCACGGGGGCGATGTCGGTGAGAATAATGTCAAGACCGAGAGCAGTGAGAGCGATTCCGGCGGGACCGCAACCGGCGCCAAGTTCGATGGCGCGCTTGCCGGAAAAGGAGAGAAGAGGGGTGTAGGGATTGAGGGCGGCGGGAGCGGGAGGGAGTAGCCGGCGTTCGGCGAACTTAGCTAGGG